ATCTAACATACACTAAGTGCATTATCACAATACATTTAACATGTGACCCTAACCCGTTATCCACATGACTTGCCACATTACAATCATGTGACATGTCACAAGTTTACATAGGCAATGATCAACCAACTTTATACCCTCCTTATTTCCTCTGACTAAAATCATGGGCTATAACACTAAATAGAGATCTGTCCGTGTGACTGGACTACCCAAGCTCACCAATCATGAGGTATGACTCGGTCAAAGATCACATGACTCACTCTCAAACCACAGTTTTCCCTACTCTCGAATCGCTAAGGTGTCATATACCTTAAGCTATTCTCCTTGTTAAACAATGAAGATAACTAGGTTCTAGTCTCTTGACAAACTATGGGATAGTCCCTTGACAAACTGTGGTATAAGGCTATATCCCTGTGTATCGAAGGGCAGCCTAAATACCATATGAATTTTTCTCTACTCCCAATCCCTAGGCGAACTCCCGCCCACTAATCATGCCATGTATAATACTCATTCATTTCTCACAAGCTCATTTAGATATTATCGAAAACAACATATTGGGCTCACAACCGTGTACTACCCAAGTGAACATCAATGCTCCTTTTCGTATCTTATCACCTAATCCACTACTTTCAAATCTAAACATCCATCAATATCACAATCATCATCAACTATTAAATTTCACATATCATTTCAATTGCCATTATTTCAAAAGATCACCTTTGCATCATTGACAATTCATTTTTAAAGCAAGTATATGAACATAACTTTTCATTGCATGATACACATGATACACAAATTTGCCAATCACAACTCACAAGTACAACACATATTTAATATTACAATACAATTAACATATAACTACCTAAAGCAGGAGTTTCCCTAGTTATCTCAAACCTTTAAAAGGTCAAAGGTTTACCAGTCGATATAATAGCTTTCAAGTTTGAATTTCCAAGCCAATTAGGTAGCTAAGAGCTCAATTTACAATTAATCAAGTTGAATTTCATCAACGATGTCGATCACTCAAAACTCTCAACTCACATTCCACTTCTAACTCACCCAATGCCCATATTTCTCACCTTTAGGCCTATTCATTGGGTTTATTAACTCTCTTTAGTCTCCAATAATATTAGTAAGTCATTAAACTCCCATTAATGACATCTCATTCTTTCAACAACCCACATTAATGTGATTTTTGTATATTTATTAAGTCTAACTACCCAAGACATCAAAATTCATTAAACTTAGGTTTAGACACTTTAACCTACTTCCATTAACTCTATTTGAGTCAATAAATTCAGACCTATAACCTATATAGACTGAAAATCATCTTACACTATCAAATCCTAATCATAAACTTCATAATGTGAAAGAAAATAGGAGATTAAGAGGCATGACACTTACCTTAGGTGTTTGTAGCTTCTAAAACACTCATAATACTGTCTAAGAACAAACCCTAGTAGAGCTTGGCATGCCTCTTTGTTTTCTCCTTTTTTCTCCTCTCTATTTCTGTCTCAGTTTGCAACTTATATCTGCAGAAAAGGGGCTGTATGCTGTGGCGGATGCATAATACACTGTGGTGCATGACACAAAAAGGCCCTCATCTTATATCAATTGCATCTGTGCACCATGGCGGATGTGATTCACGCTACGATGTGTGATACAGCAATATTACATCTTTATTTTCTTCTTCTTTCGATGCTCGGGTGGTCCGACTCAATATCAAATCTACAATTAGGGCTGAAACATAATCAAATAGGATTATTAGACCTCCCTAATCACACACCATTGTAATTTACTTAATTATCCTAATTAAGCTTAGTAAATTAGGGAATTAAAAACTAGGATGTTACATAATAGGCTTGTATCCTTGGACTTGGAACTGTTGTGCATGTGTGGGATCTCTTTAGCTCCTCCAAGCATGTCACTTTCACTCTTTAGGCCTTGCTCAGTGTGGTCAAAGCTCGCCATCTTAGTTATGTTATGTGAAGTTCTATGTTGGCCCTCTAGATTTGTGTCACCACCCTAGCATAGCAACAAAGCTCATAAGAATCTTCGAAGGCCTTATCCTTTACTGGAATGAGAAATTAACTAAAGTTAACATCTACTCTAACTCAATAGAGGCTTTGTCACTCATTAGCCACAACTACTTTGAAAGTCATCCTTTATCTGATATTATTAGGAAAATTAGAGATCTCACCATAAGAGATTAGGTGGTCACCTTTAATCATGTTTATAGAAAAACAAATAGTTGCATAGATCTCTTGGCCCATAGGCTATCACGTGACAACTTCAATATTGTGATCTTACATGTACCCTTGGACAACCGTAGAAGCCTTTTTTTTTTTTTTTGAGCCAAGACAACTGTAGAAACCTATTGGCTTTAAAACATGACTAAATCTTAATCTCTTTATATGGTTTTTTGTAGCCTTGTATTAAAAAAAGATAATATTATTTATAGGTTTCATTTATATGAAGAAAATTATACATAATTTCCTTAAAAATTTCACTTACCGCTTTAAAAAATTTCATTTTGCCCCCAACCCAAAAAAATAATGTTGGACCCCACTTATTTTTGAAAAATATGAAAATGTATATATGAAAATATAGTTTCCTAATAAATTATTATAAAATATACTACTTCTTTAATTCCTAATTTTAGTAAATTTTTTAATATTAATTTAATAAATATTTAATTTATATAAAATTTAATTATTTATATTTAGTCCAAAATTTGCTCTTACTAACCAAATTTTTTTGGATCAGTCACTTATAACCTTTCTTTGTAGACAATTGCCACTCAAAATGTCTTGTCACAACCTCAATAAATGTCCTACACTTGGTTAAAGCTGGTAATTCAAGTAAGTTTACCAGAATAAACATAAATTTATAAAAAACCTATATAATCAAATTCGGTTCTAATATTTTGGGCCTTGAGCTTATTGGGCTAGCATGAATCCGTGAATTTTTGAATTTTTTATTTTTTTAAAAATCAATTTTTAATTTAAAATTAATTATTTTTGATTTTTATTATTATGAAAATTATAAAAATATACTTTATATATATATATATATATAAATTTAAAAAATTATTCAAGTTTTTGGGCTAGGCATAATTTTAATAGGGCTTGGCCCACAATTTTTTGAGTCAAGCTTTAAAACTATGTTATTTTATTAAGTTCAATCCTAAATTTTTTTGACCTTATTTGAGATAATTCAAATTAGAAGTTTTACACTTAGCCACCTCAATGTTGGCTTTAGGTGGTCTGTCTAGTTGAAACTTCACCACCCTAACTACTTTTCCAGTATCCACCATATTGCATGGTGAATTATGAGTTAGTGATGTTAGCTTGCAAATTTGTCAAAATTTTCAAGTGAATACCTCTATTACTATAATTAAAATCTTTTTTGACCATATATTAGTATAATCATAATCAAGCATCGGTATAATTTGTATGATTGATTTGAATGCTAGTCAGGGTCGTGTGAAGGGGTTTTGGACTTAAGATAAAATTATCTAAGAGGCCTAATGTATTATTATTTATATATTTTTATATCACTTTTCTAGTTTTATGAACCACAAAATCAAGTAATTCTAACATTTCGTTTCCAATGTATAACATAGCTAATTCATTTATTCTATTTTGTAACCTAATTAATTTTAAATAAAATTTAAATAATTTTAATTTTGAAAAAACTTTTTTCACCAATAATATATTTTACTGATATTATCAATGATATTTTATAAGCAATAAAAAATGACTAATTATATAAGATATATAATTAATAGTAATGCTTAATGAGAAAAATAATAACTAATTATATGGGATATAAGTAAACTTTTTTTAAGACCTAAAGGACCGTCTTATTGGCCTAACATGAGTTTAACATGAGCTGCGGCTTTAATGCTAGTGTTTTCCATTTACTTTGTAATTTAGAAATAGAGATGGGCTCTGAATGGTAAGAAAAACAAGGTAGTTTGATGACTTTGTTCCTTGGGTCCTGCAGGCTCCATTTCCTCTTCATCTTATTTTACACATTTATTTAATTTTCAAGCGTTAGAACCGAAGCTTGCGAACATTCGTTTCGCCAATTATACTAATGGTGTTCAACTGTTAATTGATGCAAACAAAGTATGGGGAGTATGAATACTCAAGCCACTGCATAGGGATTGTGAAATTTTAAAGAAAATGATAATAAAATTTCAAAACTTAAAATTTTTAACAATTAAATTTTTGACAAAATTTTAAAAAAAAGTTATAAATATTAATTCAAACAATTACAAACAAGAATCTCAATTATAAATTGAGAGTTATTTAAAATTTAAATATTTTATGTGTAGTTAAAATTTTCAAAATTTATAATTATTTAAACTAATATTTATAAGTAATTTTTTAAAAAATTAATTGAAAATTTAACTGTTATAAATTTAGAAAAAAGTAATAATTTAGTCCTTATAGTTTGGATTTAATTGTAACTCAATTTTTAAATTTTGATTCGTTATAATTCAGTCTTTAAAGTTTTGACTTGATTATAAATCAATCCCTAAACTTTACCTCTTACAACTTAATCCCTAAAGTTTTAACCTTTTAAATATTGATTCCTATATTTTAAAAAAATTATAAAATTATAAATATTTATAAATATTAAAAGGGTTTAGTAATTTAAGATATTAGTAATAAATTTTAAAATATTTTTAATTTTTATAATTTTTTTTAAAATATAAGGTCCAATATTTAAGAAATTGAAATTTTAGGAATTAAATTATAAGAGATAAAGTTTAGGAACTGATTTATAATCAAGTCAAAACTTTAGGGATTTGGTGATAATGAAAAAGTTTAAAAACTAAATTATAATTGGGTTAAAATTATAGAGACTAAATGATTAATTTTCCATCAATTTATTATTTAAAGATTTTAATGTTATTTCTCCCAAATTTTAATTAAAGTACAGGGACTACAGCAAGAAAATTAGGTTACCTGTACGGCAAAAAATTAATATTGCGACTATTCCATCACCGAACAAACTAAATTGAGGCCGTCTGTGACGTCCGTATTTCTGGTTGCAGAATGCAGCCGTCCCGGTGACCGAATCCAACAACCCGCGAGTCGTGAAGGTAGACAACCACCGCATCGGCTTCATCGCTGATCCACGAAGCCCAAGATGGCTGTGAGACACAGTGCGGTCACTCACCTGCCAAATCTCATACGCACTCTCCGCAAGGGTTCCCCTAAGCCGCTCAACCACGCTTTACCCTCTCTTCGGCGCACTTTCTCTTTGTACGATCAAATCAATCTTATCAATAATGTTCCTGAAGACCAGCTTCGCTTCCAAGGGTAGGCTTGCATTCATTGTTAGTATTGTTCGTAGACACTGGGGGGTATAAATTCAGTTTCTTGTGAAGAGATTAGTGTGATTTGTGAGATGGCATAACTTGTTGTAAAATTTAATTTAATTTATTAGGTACAATGATACAGGCTTTACTGTAAACAAGGTTGAATATGAAGGCAGCTTGCTTTGTGTTGGAAATTTGCTTTTGTCTTGGAAACCGAAGAAGTTCTCGGAAATCACTTCAGACAGGTACATACTATGTGAATGCGTTGATTCTTGTTGCTAAAATTATCACGCCCACATTGCAAAAACAAGTATGCCATTCAAATAAGCGTGTTTAGAAAAATGAAAACCAAAAACGAAAAAAGAAAGAAAATAATGTTTTCAACCTTGCTTTCGCACACCTAAACCAGAAGAAGAAAGGTTAGGAAGCCACTGCCACCTGGGTAGCCAAAGATCAAATTTGGTGGAAATATAATCATGTTACCTTGAATCCTGAGGAAAAATAAGCAACTTTTTTTTCTGAAAAATGAACTAGCCATAGTCTACTGTTACAACCAGGTTAGTGTTAAGAATGAAGAGCATACAAGATTCTATGGAATTTTGTTTTTTCAGACATGCTTCTCTGTTCAGAGCCGTTTCCCCTATATCTCACTCCCAACTTACTAACTACTCTGTGCAGCTAATGAAGGTACCTCTACTCTAACAAACTATCACACTAATTCATCTGGCCTTAATTTAAATGTCATGGCATCACCACATCAGCTACTGACTATTTATACACGATAATTAGGTTATTTAACATATAGAATCTCTTTGGGAGTTTTGGAGAAAAGGAAAGCAGTACTTCATGGAAGAGATGGGTAGGAAGGGAAGGAGTCATAAGCAGGAGAAACTACTGTTGATTTTTTGGTAGGATGCTAAATGAGAACAAAGAGAAATTGGAGAGGATTTAAATTTGTAAAATGTCATTGTAATGCTTGTAGAGAAAAGGTGTGGGAAATTGATGGTGACAGGTGAGGACACAATTGCTTTTAGAACTTTAAAACAATATCATCCCCCTTATCAGACTGTGGGTGTGGGAAAAATGGCTGAGTGAGGAGTGGCATTGAGAGGTTGGATTTCCCCTTCTTTATATTCCAGACCAGACTTTTTTCTCTCTTCCATGCCAGGCTCTCCTCTTTTTTTCCTCTTTCCCTTTGATTTTTCTTGTCAAGGAATGGCTCAAGAAGACGTAACTGCAGAAAATCCCAAAGATTGTATCATTCAACCTTTTCATGTTTCTGTTTTTTTGGTTACATAGGAAGAGTTTTTGAATTTTGAAGCTGAAACCCTTACCTGCATCCCACATAACCTTGTCACCTGAGCTAATCCAGGTGGCTATCTGTTCATAAAATTTACATACTCTTCATATGTGTGAAAACCAACAAAATAAAAATTAATTATTAAGTAGCATATGCAATTAAGCATTATAATTATCAGATACTAGTTCCATAGCCGTTTAATATTTCTTGCCTTTGTATCTTATATTGCTAATATGGCATTCCTTTCTGCAGCTTGTCAGTCTTTCAAATTCTTCGCCCCATTCCAGGTTAGAACTATTGTTGCCATTCCTTCTTTCTGCAAGACTTCCTGTTTATTTCCTTTTATTTTGGGAAGACTTTGGTAAAGTTCATTGCGTTTTTAATGTCAAGTTCTCTGATAAAAACATAACATATGGATAAAACATTTTAAAAGAACCAGTTTTTTTATATCCATCTGTCATGTCAAATGAAGAATATGACAGCATTTGCCTAAAAAGATGTAGCGTGTTTTTTATATGGACTTTAAGAAGTGATTAGTATATTGGAATCTCGTTATAGTGAAATTAGAAGGAACTCGAGACTAAAGGAAAAATTAACATCAGTTAAAACAAAAACAATATAAAAGGCATATTTGATTTTGACTACAATATTTCAAAGCGTTTTTTATTAATAAAATGTATTCTTGTGCATGTACTTAAGGTGATTCCGAGACATGCACTTGTATTTTGCTGAATCCTAAGTTGGGACATTGTGCTGGTAAATATTTGTTGGAGATAAGCATGAAAAGAAAGTTTATCATCTAAAAGTCATACGAAAAATGAAGGGCATATAAGACTTGTGACAATTTTAATCAAGTAGGTAAGTTATTTTGGTAATACGAAAAAGTTCAAGCGCTAGGCTTAACATGGTACCACAGCACAGGGGGAAAAAATAAAAAGCCTAATCATTGCAAATTGTGGGACCTGTAAAAAAAAAAAAAAATCCAGGGGGGGTGGTTTGAAGTGGGGAGGGGTGTTGGAATAAGCATTACAAGAAAATCCCACATCTAAAAGTCATAAATTCCTAGTGATATGGACAACTTAACCATGTAGCTTTAGCTATTTTGGCAATATGAACAATTCCAAGTATAATCTCATGCAAAAGTTAAATATCCTATCTGTCTTGATTTACTAGAAATTCATCCCTCAATGTCATCTTGTGAGTTTGCTGGTGACTTGTTGTTTTTCATTGCCTTTGTAAGCTGACCGGTGAGTTAACATGCCCATATATTTTATTATTACTTATTGGTGCCATAATCACTTTTTAGATTGGTTTTGGTTTAACTTTTAATTGACTCTTTGATGGAAAACATGTCAGAGATCTTAATTCTTGGATGTGGAAAGTACATTCAGCAAGTGGATCCTGAACTTCGACGCTTTGTTAGATCTACTGGCATGAAGTTAGAAGCTATAGACTCGGTATAAATATGACGGCCTTTATATGTGTTGTTTCCTCACTAGTTGATATCACATACATTTTTATGTTTGGTAAAGTATTCTACAATATATAGCAAATGGATGTTATGTGGTCAATGTGTGTCAAAAATAGGTGTTTATAATCTATCTATTAAAATTTGCCAGGTTACTTACACTGATGTTATGGAGGTTACATTTCAGCCCTGAATCACTGTTCATTCCTTTAGAGAAAAATGCTTTACTGGTGAAATTATTTAAAATATAAGAACCTCGTCAATATGATGCTCCAGAGTCATGTACTTGCCACTCTATCATTTGGTGAACTGATCTCTGTCTGAGCTTTTTTTTCCTCCTTCCTTGCTCCATCATAAGTGCATTCGTTGCTAACAGTTGCTTACTTGATATTGTGCCGATACTTAAGATTCAAGTTTGATTTGTGACCTGTATGAAGTAACCATAATTTGCGTGAGAGTAGCATAGTAGGGCATATCATCTAACTTAATGCATGTTTAAAATAGAGTTCTACATTTTTCTTGTATTGGTGAAGAACTCCCTGAAGGGAAAAATGAGATCTCATTTTTCTGCATGTTTGATGTTTTCATGCTGATAGGTATCATGTCTCTCCAGGAAGAAACTAAATGGTGTTAAGGTTTTTATAGACACATTAGGAAATGGGTTACCTCCAATTGGCCTCCAAACCAGTAAAATAGCCTTTACACAGTACATTATCCCACAGCATAAAGTAGAGTAACCAAATGATGGATACTTAAAATGCATTATGTTGTAAATCAAATGTTTAGTGTAAGTTTGACAAATGTAAGAGTGATCTTGAATATATTGATGGATGCATTGGCTGTAGGATACAGATTATTTTATCTAAGTATCTACTACTAAAAGAAATTCTTGGAGAAGAGCTGAGAAGAGATTCATTAGTTGGAAAAATTAAAAGATGATGGTAAAAGGCCCAATCTGGTTATCCAAGATTGTCAGCAACGCCTTCCTAACCAGAATCCTCTCTGACCTTCCTTTATAGCTTGCCTCCCGTTTTTTTTCTTTGCTCCATCTGTTTTGTGTAACTTAACAAGTCCCAACTTGCCATTTTTGGTTCCCCAAATAAGAATCATTCAGTTCTTGTTTTCTCCCTAGCAAGGGCCCTGTCACTTCTCAGCCTACTTTTTTTCTAATATATGTAGTCAACTTAAGGGGTCTAAAAGTTTGTCACTAGTAAAATATTCCTGCAAGACCAAAGGTTGGATTTATTTTGTGGCATATGGTGTCTTGAAGCACTGAACCCTCTAGTCTGTCACCCAACAGCACGCTTAGTGATTGATATGAATCTTTAATATTTCATTATGTTGAAGTAATAGCGAAGATCTTCTAGATATGTGTGGTTAAAGAATGCTTTGGAAGTAATTCTGAATCTCTACATTTAAGGAACAATTGTATATTATGTTTAGTTGGAGAGAGAGAGAGAGATTGAACCCATCTTCCAACGTTGGAAGCTCTTAATTTTCTTCCCCCAACTGCACCTTGTGCAATGATACAGAAGATTCATTTGCCACCGGTAGCTGAAGATGAGCTTTGCAATCCTGTAGGAGTGTAATATGGCATTTAGAGGAAAGGTCTAGGGAAAGGAATTGGAAATATGCTGATGAACCTTAACTAAAGGCTGATTTGAGTATTCAATTATGTTTAGTCGCTTAAAAATTATATCATAGTAGGCTTTTCACTGATTGAGCTTTGCCTCTCCAGAAGTTAAAGCCTTTACCCCAAGAAGTCCACTTTGAGACATCACATAAAATAAAGGGAGAATGACAATATTGATTTAGACTGTCATAAATTTAAAAATTCTAATTGCAAATAAAACATTTAAATCTTAAATATAATTTAGATTGCAATTGGGATTCCTATTCGTAAGTATTTGAATCAATATTTACAACTTATTTTTTAGAAAATTTTTTTGGGGACTTAATTGTCATAGATTCCCCAGTTTTGAAACTTTATTGTCACCCTCCCTTGCTAAATTAGTGTGAGCAACATCTTTAGAGGTAAAACTTCTTGTGGAATGATTCCAATTCCAAGCAATAAACTAAAGGCAAAAAGTAAAAAAATTGGGTTTGGCCATTAGAAATGATTTTCTTCCATTCCTTTATGCCTAACTTTTTTTTTGGTCCTTGCTTTTTCCCAGAGAAACGCAGCATCAACTTACAATATATTGAATGAAGAAGGTCGTATTGTTGCTGCAGCACTTCTTCCATATGGAGTTACTTCATGAAGCCCTGGTTCTATAGTTGAGATTTACATTGGACGAGGCATCTAATACTCAGGAAGAAGACGAGCTGGGTTTCTGAAATTCTTACATGATTGGTTGCTTTCAAGTTAGATCTCTTGTTTACGTTGACAAATTGAGGCTACCTCAAGGAACGCACAGCTAGCTATATTGTGTGTTTTCACCAAGCAATGCATCACCTTTTTACTAAACTCTCAATAAAGGAATCCTCTTTCCCTTAAGAAGTCACTTGGACTTGGAACCACGTCCTTATAAATGCAGAGACGAATCTAACCGACTTGTATCCTCTCATTATTCTCTCTCCTTTTTTTTTCTTTTCTTTTTTTTTCTCCTCCTCATTTCATTCCTGCCTTTAAATAAAAAATTCAATAGTTGAGGTCTAATCAAATTCATTATTTATTTTGAGTAAAAACATAACTATTAGTTTTTATAGTTTTATCATGTTTTGTTATTGGTCTTTATATTATTTATTTTATTTATTTATTTATTTTTTTGTGTAAGCTCTTTCTAGCTTTTTACGTCTGCCAATTATTTTTTCCAGCCTAACCATTCACAATTTTAATCTGTCTATTTCTAAATATGTTTAGAGGGATGATGAAGTGACACTTATAATAGTGTTAAATTATCATATGTTTAACTAACAATTTAATAAGAATGCAGACATGTTTAAAACAAAATGCATTGATAATTTGAATTAGCAGAAGATCAACAAAAATTTGAACAATTGCTTTATGATTAGCATTGGAAAGTGATTTTTAATTATTGTGGTTCAAGCCTTTTATTTTATGCATCAAATGCTCTAATTTAACACCATTAATACTTCATTATCATTCTTCTTAACATATTTAAAAATAAAGGAATTAACATTGCATATGAGAAACACTAAGAAATTAGACTATCAAAATATATATATATATATATATATAAACTAATAACAAAATACGATAAAATTATAGCAACAAATATTTATATTTTTTTTTAAATTTTAATTATAATCTACAATACATTTATATTATTGTTACTAAAATTAACATTCTAAAAATTTTAAAAAAATTTATTATTAAATTTAGATTATTCAAAATACATCTAGATAGTCAATTTATAAAAATTATAAAAAAATTTTTAATATTAAACTAGATTATTCAGATTAAATATGTATTATCTAGATTGACAATAACATAAATTTATTAAAATTTTATAATTTTTTTATAAAAATATAAAAGTAAAAGATTAAAATCTAGACCATCTAGATTACAAATCTAGACACTCTAGATGCTCACTCAAACCAAATGGTCAAGTACAAGCTGCCCCCACTACTTAGCCTCGCCTAATCTAAAATAGTAAATATGATCCAAAAGGGCTTAAAAATAATGCTCTCTTTATTAAAAATATAAAGTATTTTTTGAAAAGTTAGATGTTTAAAAATATAAAGCATTTTTTAGTTTTTTGAAATGTAATCATTGTCTTTTTTTTTTAAGTGTCCCTATTGATGAATGAATTTATATTTATTATAAGGTGTATAATAGAGATAAATATAAAAATATATGATTAGTTTAAAAGTAAGTAATTACTTTATTAGGGGTGGGATTTAGTTAAAAATATCTTTTATTTTTTTAATGGAGGGCATATATTATTATGAAGTATTTGATATCTTCAAAGTTGAATTGTTCAAGTAAGTCTAAATTATTATTGATTTAAAAAAAAATTAAAAGTCCATCTTGGCTAAGCAATAACATGTGGTTTACTTTGGCATTTCACCGGAACCAACCCGAATGAGGGAAAAATGTTTCTCTCATTTGCTAACCCCTACAAAATCAAGGTCTATTGATTGAGTTAGGAACTTTCCATAACCTATTGGAAAGTTAAAAAAAAAAAAAAAAATAGAGACTGTCATGCGAGATTAGATTCTCTCGTCATCCTTTCTCTTCTTTTCTTCTCCCCATTCTCACTTTTGGATTAGAATTCAGATTTAATATTTTATAAAATTATTATAATAAACATAAATAAATAGATATAAACTATTAAAATCTAATCTAAATAGTTCTCAATCGTCAAACTGGCACTGTAAAAAAATTAAGAAAAAGTTACAACTTAAAAAATTTAAATTTAAATTTTTCAAAACACATTTGGATAGTCAATTTATAAAAATAAAAAATTTTTAATATTAAGTTAGATTATCCAAATTAAATTTTTATTATCCAAATTGATGATAGAATAAATTTATTATTATTTATAATTTTTATTTTAATGAATATAAAATAAAATATAAAAAAAAAATATGTAAATCTGGATGATCCGGATTGCTATTTATGTGAAGAGCACCAATTGAAACTCGACTCGTACTTGAATCAAGTCAACCCATCACACACCCAAATATAAAACCATATATTAAAACGTAATCTGCCCTAATTCTATCCTAATGCTTGCTAAAATTATGCATTATTAGGTTATCATGAGATTATGTATATCAAACAAATGACAAGCGTGTGTGTGAGAGAGAAAATTAATCATTTATTTTGACTCAGCTATAATTTGATCTTTAAACTTTAATTTAATGCTCTACAATTTCTATAGTTTAGTCATTTAAAACATTAGTTTCTAAATTTTAATAATAATTTTATTTATTATAATTGTATTTTTTAAAATGTAGGGACTAACATTTTAAATAAATAAAATTATAAAAATTGAGTTGCAAAAATCAAAAAGTTAAGAATTATGTTTTAACTAAATTAAAATCATAAAAATTGAATCGTGACGAGTGAAATTGGCTTAAGGATTGGATTGAATGTTAATTAATTTTTTTTTTGCCAACGAATGTTAATTGAATAAAATTATAAGAATTAAATTATTAATTTTTCACACACATGCGCGCATGTGTGCAGGCGGGCATGTACATATATTAGTATAAACACAAGGGATAGTTTCGGGTGGAGCATCAGTGCTTAAGAAAATCTCTACCATCCATCATAGATGAGCAACAAATCTCTACCAATAAATTCTTGTTGTGCTCATGCTTTCTATGTCGTTTGTTGCATTCCGTAGTATCTACTATCTCGTCCAATTTAAAAAAGAAAAAAGAAAATATTTAGCTTAGAATGCTTGACTAATTTCATCAAAATTTCATGAGATTCCTCATAATCATGCAATATGTGGATAGAGGATTTACCCTTGTTCTTTTTGTTCCTGATTAACAACATTGGCGTAAAGCCAATTTATCAATCCCATGCGTGGCAAAAATCTATGTTACTTTTAAAACCAACATATATAAGCCAATTTTCTATCGTATCTACCAATTTATAAGTGACATAAAAAGTCATGGTTGTAGACTTGTAGTAATTTAACATTGACTTAAAGCTAGTTACTTGGTCCCATGCCACTTATTTTAAATTAATTCGCTAGTGATCTTTAGTTGGAATTCTTCTTATTTTTCTTATATATTATATGTAGTTTGAAATAGTGAATAAATAAATAACTTTCCAAATAGGCCTTACATTAACAAAACAAACAAACTTATTTGACACTACATTTGAGAACTGGATTTTTGCGTTGTGTTTTGCACAAATTTTAGACCAAGTCAAATTATTCAAGACTCATTTAACCAAAAAAAAAAAAAATCGCAACTCATGACAAAAGATGATTTCTTAAATTTATAATTTATGTTTACATGAACAGCATGGCTTATTTTCTAAATTTCATACAATATAAGTCTCATACTACTAATATAAAATATAATATATAGAATATATATTTTTATAACGTGAATTTTTTTATATAGAATATAATATAATACTAATATATATTTTTATATGGAATATATATTTTTCTGCCAAAAAAATTGTGAAATACATATATTAAATATTATATTTTAAATTTTATTGAGATATTCAAAGAATCCCTGCAAATATGCAACAATATTTTAATTTAAGACAGTAATAATGAACCAGATATATTACTAACTTACACTTTTCTAAAACTTAAAAAAATTAAATAATTAAATAATAAGTATAATTGCATAAAACGGGCCAACTTTAGAGTTGGGAATAAGGGCCAGTGTTGAACCTATAAGCTTTGTTTAAATAAGAGCTTAGACTTGAAAAATGGAGGAGTTTTAAGATAATCGAGCTTTTGGGCACAACCCTGATAAGCCCTAAAAAATAGACTCGACTCAGGCAACCCTCCAAACTCTATTGTCTTTTTTTTTTGGGCAATCTATGTAAAATGGTGTATAGAAGAAAAACCTAAGGCATAAACTTATCTAATTTCTTATCTCTTGACTCTCACTTTCTCAACCTTCTTCGTTTGATTGAAACTCTCACTCTCTTAACTTAAAAATTAAAGATTGCGTGGTCACGTATCTGTTTTCCCGTTGACTTGACCGTTGCTTATCTTTACCTCACTTAATATCTCATCTCTCCCATTAGTTGTCCGTCATTTTTATCTCTCCTTTAATCTTTGCCTCACTTAGAGTCACTTAACTCTCCATGTTGCATCTGCTCTCCCTTAGGCGTCTCATGATCTTCTTTCCACTCGCAGTTGTTGTTTTGCCATGGGTGCTAGGTGGATGATACTTTGACCTTTTATTGTCTTAGGTAGGTGCTCTGATTCTCACCACGTTTAACCAAAGTATTTTTTTTTGTTGGGCCAACTAAAGTAATTACTTTGATTTATTTTATGCTTAATTTTAAAATATTCTAATTAAATTATAATATTAATTTTTTTATTTTTTATAACTTGACTTACGAGTCTGACTCTGAGCTCTTTACATAAAAGCCGAGTTTCAGGATTTGAAGAAATTTTAAAAAATTGAATTTTAAGGCCTAAGCTTTTAAAGGTCGGGTTTATAAAAGCTAGACTCGTCCATTTTCTAACTCTAGCCAACGTTTTGAATTCATGGACTGTGGTATCTTTGAAAGAATCAAAGAATACTCCTTTCCTTTTTGTTTGATGACTACAATACCCACACCTTATTACCAATATTCCAAAACTGTCCTCCAGTAAATAATGCTTAGCTACCTGCCGCTGCTTGACTGCATCATCCTCGTTATTTTTTCGCTCTTGCTTCTCTGCGCTGTTGCCTCTCTGCTTCCTTGTTGTCCCTCTGTGTTGCTGTCGCCGTCAAGTGAACCTCTGGCTGGCGCCGTACTTGCCCTTTCTCATCGCCTCTTTTTTCGTCATTGTATTTTGCCGTAGGACGATAATACGAGTACATATATGAGGAGCAAAACTCTTGGCTCCTACGATCTCCATGAACTTATTTTCCAATATGACCTTTTTTGG